CTTAGTTTTGTAAATTAAAATAAAGTACTTTTTAGTGTTCACAGTACAAATGCAAATTACACACAATTACAATTTAAGTCAGCGTGACTTAAAATTACTAAATCTACTTGATCAAGAAAGTTTTCTTTCTTATTTTTGACGTAATCAGTTTCAACTGTTTTTTGAGTTAAACGAAGTTATCTGCTTTTACAATGTAATAGCTTTCCTTGATTATAGATGATTATCCATGCAATATATTGCATTGATGAGTATGAAATTTGTTATCAGTACGGATGTAATATGCGCTGTGATAGAAACTGCTTACATTTTACAAATCAAAGTCCATTTACAGGCATTCTCAGGCCTGACAGACCCCAGAAAAATTCTGTGTGAGTCCGGCCCGAAACCGGTAGGCTATGTCAGGTTCAGTCAGGTTTGGGCAGAAATTCAAAGCTCCAGTCAGTTTCAGTTGGGGTTGAAACTGAAAATAATATAGTGGTGGAGTTGGAGGAAGAATGCATGGAATAAAAAATATGAGATTCAGAAAGACTTTAATTCAGTACAATGTATTGATGTATAGAATATAAGTATTTACAAGATAAGAAATAACAGCATTACTGGAGAAGGTAACTGCTGACGTAATTTTGACATGAATACTAATAATTCAATCTAGAAATGTAATATAATGAAATACAATGTCAGTCACACTTTCACCAGCTCTGTATTATTAAATCCGAGCTTAAATATTGTTCTGGTTTCAATATTTGTTCAAGCTCTTTCCTGCCCATCAGTGTTCGTCAAATTCTTGCTGGCGCAGATTGTATGTTTAAAGTAGACGGAGTGATGCAGAGTCAGCATGGGAGAGCAAGTTAATCTCTTCTGTGGAGAAAAAGGGGACAAAGTCAGAGAGGGAGAGGAAGGGACAGCAAAGAGTGGCGTTCCAAGTTGAGTCAGCACGAGTGTTCTGTCAACAGGAGAGAAAAGAGGGGATAGAGGGAGAGAAAAGGGGGTGAGATAAGGTTGAAGAGGCAGGACAAAGAGCCTGGGCTGATAAATGACATGAGAGAGCAAAGACAGGGAGACTCTGGTGTGTGTATATGTGTTAGTGAGAATGTGCATGCGCTTCAGTCAGCACGATAGTTACTGTGACACCATGACAGTCGTGAATTTGCACGTACGCTTCTCAGCCTTCACCAAATATGCTATATTTTATTTCAGGCAGAGATATACTTGTGACTGGCAAGACACTACAGGCAAAGATTTTGAGATTTTGACAAATTTTGTCTTCTTCAGTCTTCTTTCAGACTAGTGAAGAGAAAACATCCAAAATGTTAGTACACTGTGTCTACTTGCATCTGTAGATTTGATCTAAATTCACCTAAAAGGTAGCATTAGATGATGCCTCATTTGCATATTTAAATATACATTTTCAGAAAACTTGAAAAAAATGATTGTCTTCATGTAAGTAATCAACTGGGGAAGTTCCTCATCACCTGAAAACTATAATTGGTATGTTTTTGTTACCTTAGAATGAGCCGTTTTCATCTACAGAAGGAGGGTACGGGTAGGGAGTCCGCCATGTTGAGCCGCCATTTCTCAGAGCCCAGAATAGACAAACCAAACGCTGGTTTCGGTTAGGACCTTTTACATTTTTTGCACGTTTTGCTGCCACTGTAGTTTTTTCTACACACTTGGAAGGCCTAGCAGTATTCAGTTAGTTGTAATCTGCAATTTAACCTCTAGAGGCCATTAAATTCTACACACTGGTCCTTTAAATGCGGCCTTGCCTCTTGTAAGCCTGAATCCTGAACCATCAGTAGATTTTAAGTCAAGTGAAGATGCTGATGCAATAATCAAGGAGTGATGATTCTCCTTTGATTCTTGCTGCATACCGTGTTATGTCCAAGCTATCAGCACACTTACAGGCCTCCTAATATTTGGCCTCAGTTACAGCTAATTCATTAACAGCAGCTGTTTTGTTTTTGCCTAAAGGCTGGAACATAACAAGAGGGGAGGAAAACAGAGGGACAGGGAAGCAGAAACAGATCAAAACTAGGGAGCAGTGGTGCTGATGAGAGAGAGAGCACCTTCAGACTAAAGACTGACAACTCAGCTGACCAATCGTGTGCAGGGGAGGCAGCACTATAAGCAAATCATCTCCAGCCTGCCCCACACCCTGTATCGGGTGCCTATGGAAGAAGGGGAGGGAGGGGACGAGGAGGAGGGCTGCGGCTCTGAGCTTAAGAGTCTGGGTGGGAGTAGAGCAGAGCAGACAAAAGACACTGCAGCAGCCTGCAGCATCCAGCATTGAGCTCTCCATCCTGTACAGCGAGTGCTCACCAGGACCTAGTCCCTTAAAACAGGAGAGGCCTGGCTGCTCGTCTGCCCGTCTGCACCCTCCTCTTCTTTGTCGGCTGAGAGTACAGATAGTGTGGAGCCATGCCTGAGTGCTGGGATGGGGTGAGTGGCAGGCAGGAGTGTGTGATGGGAGGATGCTGTACCTGCGTGTGTGATTTAATATAAATGTATGAGTGACTATATTTATATCTGGCGTCAATTACATCAGAATACATTTTAGAGTCTTCGCAATTATGGCTGGTTCTTTCCTCTAAATGTTACATTTTGCAAAAGAAATTACATTAAAAAAATTAAACAGTATTCTGATCCAAGTTTGCTGGCAGTCAACAAAGTGCAGCTGTAACAGTGACGATACAGAATATTTCTCGTGTGTGTGTTCTGTATTCAGAAGAAGAAACTGCAGCGTCAGTGTCAAATGATGGGTCATCCTTTGTCTCTGGCCCACTGACACACTTAAGCTTGCCAACAGCAGTATGCCGATGCGCATAACTCTGCAGATAAACACATGACTGTGTGTGTGTGTGCAGCGGAAGTGTTAATCCTTCTGCAGTACCATCCATTTTGGCAACCTTGAAAAAGATAAGGTGTGTGTGTGAGGAAAGGAGAGGACAGAGTGAAGGGGAGGATTCAGTTAGCTCACTTTTTATGTGTTTTGCTCTGTGTGTTCCTGGCTGCACTGTGACTTGTGATGAGATTTTTGCTCATTTTTCATTTCTCAGATCATTCTTAAATCAAACAAATTGCTGTGGAGAGAGAAAAGCTGCGTCTTATTTTGAAACCTGAACTTCCACATCCACTGAAACATACTGTAAATTCCTCCCTGTGTGTGTGCACATCTGAAGGTCATCATCAGCTTGTGTGTTTGTGAAATTTCTCCTCATATTTGCCAGAACACTGCAAACAGACTGTGAACAAAGCCCCTGATGCTGTAACTGCCTCAAATTAGAATGCTGATTGCAGAAAACACTGATGTCACAGAATAACAGACAGATAATCTGGCTGGATTAACTCATAATTGATGGCTGCATGACTATCTGCTGCTGGGGGTAGGGGGGATATTGCAGAATTTTAGCCGTTGGTTGCAACCGTAAGTGCATTTGTTTCTGAATTATTGGGAGCTATTCCAATCACTCCTGAGTGATTGGCCCATGGTTGCATGGGCGGATCTAGAGGGGTGGCACCATACCCCAGTTTGGTGTCAAATTCAGTCAAATTAAAACATTAATTTAGATCAGTTTTAAAAATGAATCTAATGATCTGTTATGGCCATGTGCCATGTAATGCCACCTTTAAATATTTTTATTTGATGACTATTAATAACTAATGTGCCACAATAATGTAATGTTTTTGAGTTAGACTTCATTTGGGGGCTTTTCCAAGCCAATATTGACATATGTGATTAAATCAGTGCATGTCACCCCATGAATATTTCTCTAGATCGACCCCTGGCAGGTTGTAGATTTACAGTCAGGTCTCTCTCTGTCTGAATAGATTAAGGTATGACATGCTGAGGGAAAGACAGCAGTGATGGTGTGTCAGTGTTTATTAGATCTCTGTTGTAGAGTCAACATCATCAGTAAAGGCTTCAGTGCAGTTTACAGCCTAAATAATCCCAAAACGCTACTCTGCTGAGAGTGGGTGTGTGTGTGTGCCCACATTGCGCAGCTCATGGTAACACATATCCCCTACCTCCATTTTGAGTTTGGCTGGCTCTGACCAGCGGATGCTGCAAAATGTGGGTCATGACGAGAGTGTTTGGAGCAAGTGTGAGCTATTAGAGTATGTACATATATATATATATATATATATATATATGAATTCTGCTCCATTAAAGGAGTTTGTATGTTTTGTTATCCACTATATGCTCCTCAGTAGTGTCAGCCAGTGATATTATATTATTTTGTATTACATTATTACATAATTTCAAACCTCACTTCTTTATAATTTTTCAATTCTTAATCCTTTTAGATTCTTCATTCTTTAAAACCACAAACTACTCAATTATTTTTTTATATTGCTTTTTTTATATACATGTCTATTGTTCTCCTTACTTATTGTGTTGTTACTGTTGTACGTGTGTATGCTGCTGCTACACTGCAATTTCCCCAGGCTTGGGATCAATAAAGTCTATCTATCTATCTTCTATCTATCTATCTAATCTATCTATCTAATCTATTACTTATCTATCTATGCATCTATCTATCTATCTATCTATCTATCTATCTCATCTATTATCTGCAGAGTATGACATGTTAGTCAACGCATGTCCAATAATCAGGGATTCACTGTGGTCGTAGCTCAAACTAATTGAAGACGCCTGCCCTAGGCAGGTCTGCCGCTCTGTCATAATGCTGGGAAAGCTGATGATTAATGAGGAACAATCCTGCATAGATCGGCTGTTAATGGTAAAGGAGCATTTGACTGAAGTTTAATAAAAAGCAGGTTAAAAACTCAGTCTCTTGCAGTGTTAATGCTGAAGACATGTTGATGTGTTGTGTCTTGTGAAACACTTGAGATTATGGATCAGTGAGGTGTTTTTTTCTTTAAATCTCCCACTCACATCAGTTTACCCAGGGAAGGTTCAGGTGCAAATGTTCTTACAAAAACAAATGACTGTGTGTGAAACCACCAGGTGAGTGAGAGTGTGTTTGTGTGTTTCACAGGAACATGATATTGAGACCCCTTATGGGATGCTGCATGTGGTGATCCGCGGGGCACCCAAAGGAAACAAGCCTGCCATCCTCACCTACCACGACGTGGGACTGAACCGTGAGTATCCACGTAAAATGTGTGTGTGTGGCTTGACAGATGTTCCCGGCTTGTCAGTAAGGTGTTTCCACACTTATCGGAGGTGATAATTGGCCTCTGTGCCACATCCTTCCTTCTAGCCCTCGCTCACACACAGTCGTTATTGTCACCCGCAGGAGGTCCATGTCAGCAGTGTCACAGCTAAAATCATAATTAAAGGATGCAGGGGATAAATGAAGTTATTTGTTAAAGTTGACATAGTTTCAGCACAGTGTGGAAGATATGTGGGTTTCATCAGGAAATGATTAACCCTCTAAAAGTGGACCTCACACGGGTGTCCGTTTTTTGCGTTATCCGTTCAGGGTGACCTTTTTTTATTGACTTATATAACCTTTTAGCTTAGGTTGTACAGATTTTAGGGAGGAATAATTTCATTTCAAGATTAAAAAATATCAATATTTCTATTGCAATTCAAAACATTTTCAAAACATTTTCTTGTACCTGAAGGCTTCAGCTTTATAAGATTTTCTGTCATGGATTTAGTAAGATGTCTCATAAGAACAATCGAGTGTTGACTGTCTGCCATGATGCTCATGTTATACCACGTCACAGTGTGCCCTATAAGCCAGCATTTAATACAGACTGAGTGGTCAATAATTTAATAAAGGAAGGGATTATGATATTGTGTGCAGGAGAGGACGTAGGGAGAAGAAACAGAGGAAATGAAAAAAGAATAAAAACACTGAGGGGGGGCTTGTTGTTTTAAGTGTGATGAGCTGTGACAAAAATAGAAAAAGAGGGAGAGACAGGGAGGCAAATGAAAGGGTGAGTGCGAGAGGCATCGATGAAATGTAGGTCAGAAAAACATCCCCGTCCTGCGGAGAGAGGGGTGAGGCGGGGCCAGCAGCGCTGCGGCACTGCCTTGATGGGTGGAGGTGGGATAGGGGTGGTGGGGGTTTTGGAGGATAGCGTGTCGTGGACCGGAGCTGATCCACGGCCCTGCTGAATGCAGATATGTGGCTTTTGTTGTCCTTTCCACTGCCTTTTATTGGTCCTCTTCCTTTTTCTTAAGCTGATTATCCATCTCGTTTGGAAAACACAAAGCAAAGCCAGCCACTTAAGCAGAAAACACAATGCAAAAATAATAATAATACAGTAATTAAGAACAAACAAAAGAGAAAAGCACATGACAACAATAGATAATGTAGAGTATAATAGAGCAGAATATAACTTGTATTTTGCTGCTGCAGCAGAAGCGCAGGGCTATTAGTATTCAGAGCCTGTTACTAAATCACTCGACTGTGGCGCACAATCATACAGGACGGAAGGAAAGCGAGGGATGAAAGGAGTGGCACTGGAAATAACAGTAAGGAAAATTGTTAGAGAGTTTATTGTTCTATTTACAGTGACTCCCAATCAGCAGATGGTACAGCAGTCCATCAGTCCATGATTAAAAAACACAGAAGTAGAGAGAACAAGAGAACAGGAGGGAGTGGGAAAGAGATTAGAAGTGAGAGAGAGAGAAATACAAAGGCAGAGATCAAGGAGCAGCAAATGTTGCAGGAGAGAAAAGCAGAGGGATGATAGAAAGGGAAAAAGAAAGTGCAAAGGGAGAAAGTGGGTCACGGAGTCAGGAGGAGTGCAGACTGTGAGCGCTGACTGGTGAGTCAGCGAGAAAGTGGGAGAAACTTCTTACCTCTGTCCTCACGTAGCATAGGTATTTTTTGTTTTAAAAGCTCGCAAACTGGCAAAGATTAAGCGTCACCTTCCCGCCTCCTGTACTTTTTTATTTCTAACCCAGTTGTCATGCTAATTGGTCCATTAAATTAACAGCGCTCAGCCAGAGCCCGAGGAGGAAACAATGTTGCTGCGTGGTTTCACCAAGTCTGACACACATGGGCTGAAAGTAGGCCAACTGCAGAGCCAGTGGGAGCAGGGCAAATGGAGAGCTGACATCTATTATACATCTAGCTTTTTCAGAATGCAATGTTTAGAGTTTTCTATAGTGGAACACGTACTGGAAATCCTCAGCGAGTCACTCTCCAAATTCTCAAGAGAAGAGAATTTTCTGTCGTTACATTTTAATCTATTATTTGGAAAGGAATTAAGTGAGAAAAAAATACACACAAAATTAATTTTAAAGATACAACAAACATTGTTATACAAGCTGCGCTAGGCTCTTCTGTAAAGAGTCCAACGTTGCTCATAGAAGAATGATTCAACTGACTCAGAGAGCTAAACTCACATTCAAATAAGTACTAAGAAACTAGAGTTTAATGTGTAAATGTGTTAGTAACTTTGACAGAATAATTACTTGATGAACAAATCATTAAAGAAACAGTGACTCTAACTAGCTAGCTAGTTTCAGTCTTGACAGAGCTAGGGCAGCTTCCAGACTTTGTGCTAAGCTATGCAAAAAGACCAGGACTTTCTCTTTTACTTTAATTTTTAATTTAACCAGTAAGTTTCTTGAGATATATTACCTGGACAAAATGGCAGCATAGAATAGTAGCCACATTTTTGTTACAAGTTCTTATTTAGTTTAATAACATTGGAATATTTTATTAGTTGTTTTAAATATCACCTAAGCATCATTGTTTCCATTACCTTAGAATGGTCCTCTTCTACAGAGTCCAGCATGATGAACAAACCAAACATTGGCTATAGATAGGGCCTTTCACTCTTTTGCGAGCTCTGCGGCCACCATATCTTCTCTTTTGTGCTTGGTTGAGTAAATGAGTAAATGTTTAATGGAAAAAGTACATTTAAATCTTTCTATACTGACCTGTTCATATGACCGTGGATAAGAAATCAAACAAGGATACACAGTTTTCTTTCAGCTAAGTCCTTTGTCATTACCAATAAAGCACTGAAGAGAATCTGTACTTATTCATGTTTGCCATATCAAAAAATGACCACATTATAGAGAAATTCATAGTGTCAGTTCTCTGTTAAAAATAGGAGTCTCTGCCTTCTCCTTCTGGCACAGGATCAGTTGTACAGATGGCCACCTTCAAGGTCTTCTCCGAGTGTGATGCATATTTAATGTGATCACATTCCTCTGCTCTCATCCCTCCATCCTCTCCTCCTCTTCCTTGCCCTGCCCTTTGTTTTCTTCCCACCCCCCATTTCTTCCGACCTATCCCTCTATCCTCTCACCCCATGCTACCTCTGCTTATTTCCTCTCCTCTCTCGCTCTCCTACAGACAAGCTGTGCTTCAACACTTTCTTCAATAATGAGGATATGCAGGAGATCACCAAGCACTTTGTGGTTTGCCACATCGATGCCCCGGGGCAGCAGATTGGAGCATCACAGCTGCCACAGGGGTATATACTAATGAATAGAAGCTTGTTTATTATTTAATATGTGTTAATTTTCTGGTGGTCAGGGGATTAGGCCAGTGATGATGATTAGGTGAATAAATTAGGATTATCTCAGTTTACTCAAGTATTTATAAATTATTTGAATGGATCATAAAATATAAGTAAAAACAGATGCTCAGAATGTACTGATCACACATACAGCATGTGAAGTAATGATGACCACAAGTCATGTGCTTGCTCTCCACAGGTACCAGTACCCTACTATGGACCAGTTGGCTGGGATGCTGCCCACTGTGGTGCAGCACTTTGGGTTGGTGCTCTTTGCAATGAAATTACTCCACATTTATTCACACAGCCAACACGGCCAATATTTTAATTCGAGCCATCTGTAGGGACGCCATGTTCTCTTTTTACTCTACAAGCTGGCAAAGACAAACAAGATTTTTTTGTTGCTGCAAAAAGAAAAAAACTCATTGGCATTTGTTCAGAACATAGAAGAAATGTAAGCTCTGATTTGCAAACTAGAACAAAATCAGTCAACACTTCTCATCAATGGCAGACTCACAAAAGTGCCATCTTGGATGCCTCTATGGTAAAAAATATGAGTGCTTTCTAGGGCCCCCTTCCAGCGGAGAGAATGTGATTGGGTGACCTCTAGGGTGCCCTTCTAGTGGGAAAAACACAATAAAGTGCCCTCTAAGGTGGTCTTCCAGTGGACAAAACTCAATAAAGTGCCCTCTAGGGCCCCCTTCCAGCGGAGAGAATGTCTGAGAACTGAGATGTTTCTGTAGATTGCAGAAAGAAAATATCGAGTGAAGACATTTGTTTCCTGCCAACAGGATGTAATTTTAGCCTGGACATTCAGTACCAGCCACAGCTGAGATGTAGCCTACAACACTTTGTTCTGCACAAGCATGAATTTCAGCCTGTGCTGCCAACAATACCATTCTGTAACATCGAATATAGGAACACCAGACTGTCACAACACTCCTTGTATCTATGTAGCATCCACACTATTGACAGTAGTGTATGATTATTTATCTTTAAAACATTGCCTCTAACGGACCAATGATCTTTTAGATTTAAGAGCATCGTTGGGATTGGAGTTGGAGCTGGAGCTTACATTCTGGCCAAGTTTGCTGTAAGTCACATCCTGATTCTCCTAATCTACTGTAGATTGAGCCTAGAGCTATCAGCTATCAATCAGAAATTCTGAGCAGTGTCTTACATATGTTTCTATGACCTCTGCTCTCAGCTGATCTTCCCCGACCTGGTTGAGGGTTTGGTTCTGCTCAACATCGACCCCAATGGCAAAGGCTGGATTGACTGGGCTGCCACCAAGGTACCTGTCTGTTACTGTATGCTAGTGTTTTGGGTGGGCTCACATTCCAAATCCAGGCCTACATTCTGTTTTCTCGCAGTAACAATGTCCCTGTCTTTCCCCCAGCTGTCAGGTCTGACCAGCGCTCTGCCAGATACTGTGCTGCCACATCTTTTCAGCCAGGTAAGCTCATGGTACAGGTATGAAGTTGGACATTAATTGTTTTTCAATTGCTATTCAGGTTTTCTTCATTTTTTGGTACTTCTTAAAAACAGGGAAACAGGGCAAGTAAAAATGACATTCCCTAATTCTCAAATAAAATTCACAGATCAAGATCATCCTACATGTAATAATTCCTCCTCGTGCAAAGGTTCTGACCCAGTTTGTGTGTTTGCCTGCAGGAGGAGCTGATGAACAACACAGAGCTGGTGCAGAGCTACCGGCAACAGATCAACAACACCGTCAATCAGTTCAACCTGCAGCTTTTCTGGAACATGTACAACAGGTGAAATACAATTTCCTTCTCACATGTTTACTTAAGTCACTTTTGGGGACATTACATAGACTTACATTCATCCTGGTCCAGTATACAACCAATACAAGATGTAGAAACTTGAGGTCACCAGTGCACATACACTGAGAATGGACTTTGGCTTTTTAAGAATTTTAATGTGGAAATTATAATTTGTTTATGCAGATAAACATATCAGACACACATTACTGTTCCAAGCAGACTATTTATACATAAATTCTTGTCTGGAGGCGATTTTTAACCATTGACCCGGCTTTTGTCCCCAATTGGACAAGCCGTCCCGAGTTCTTTAGTCTGAAATGTGTACCCAAATGTAGCCTAAGTCAGACTCACCCATACACACAGACACATACACACACATAAAAACACCAGCATTTTATTTTAACATTCATGATGTCTCGTCTCTTTCAGTCGGAGGGACCTGGAGATGAATCGCAGTGGGACGGTGATCAATGCTAAGACCCTGAAGTAAGTCTGCAGACAGTTTCATAATACGCTGATAGTCATTATCTAGATGATTCATGTCAAAATCAGTAGGTCGACAATGGACGTTTTTCACAGCAGCCATTTCGACATGAAACAGTAGGGTTAACACAGGTGTTATCAATGATAATGACAAAAATACCAAATATTTGCTAGGTCCGGCTTCTCAAATGCTAAATTTGTTTACTGTAAATACTGTATAATATTTGGGGGTGCTGGCATAACAAAACAAACAATTTGAACACGTCCAAACAGGAAAAAAAAGTCTCTGTTTTGTTGGATTACTATAAAACAATTAATATTAATTCCAAATGTCCCTGTAGGTGTTCTGTGATGCTGGTCGTGGGAGACAACGCCCCTGCTGAGGAGGGAGTGGTGAGTCCATCGTCTTTCTTCCCTGCACCGACTTTATCTACCTATCCTCAAGACCCTCTCTCTTTATCTCACCATGCAGCGCCTATGTCTCATCAGCTGTCTTCCTTCTTTAGCTCGCTCCTTGAACTTTCCCACTGAGATTACTTCCTCCTTCAAAGTAATCCTGCCTCAAAAAAATATTAGTCTATCTAAAGCTCTGAACGCTCCTGTTCTCGCCCTGTTCAGTGTTTTGTACTTGCCGTGTTAATCCAGTCCATGGCCATTTGTCCTCATTCAGTAAAACAGAAACAGGTCAGCCAGCAGAGACATGGTTCACTCTCTCTGCACCCCCAGGGATTCTGTGTATGTGTGTCTGTCCATATGTGTCTTTGTGTGCAATGCATGTCTTTGATACTCTAGGTGTGTGTGTGTTCTCCAGGGGCCAGATGGCCTTGCTCTGTCTCTGGGGTTTCCTAGTTTGAAGTGGCCCAGATATGTATGCTTCTGCACCAGTTAATCTTCCGCATGTTCAAATTTAAATCAAATCACTCCTCTGTTGGATGGAGGAGTGGGGCGGGGGAACCAGAGGGAGGGTGGGGAGGGGTGTTGTTATAAAACATGTTAAAAAGAGATGGAGAGATGGAAAATGAGAGAGGAATGGAAGGGAGGCAGTGTTAGGAGAAACAGGGGCTGTTTTATTGGATGTGACAGATGGAGGTCATGTTAATATTTTATATTCGCTGATACGGTCAGTTGAAACTGCTGTGCATGCCGCCACTTATATGACACATAGTTTTGTTTAGAGTGAGCAGAGTAACAGAAAAATGCAATGTGTTGGGTGATGCATACATTTCAGACTTGTATTTGCATATCCTGTTTTGCAACTGTTTTGTTGTAAATTTGCATATGTGCATGTGATTTGTAATTAATATGTATCTGCAGATGAAGCTTATTTATAGAGCTCTTCATTACAGGGACTTTAAAGAAACATTTTGTGAGAAGAAACAGAAATACATGCACTCCTGTTGTGTCTTCAAATTTAACATGTTTGGGCAGTAAAATCTGTGTGAAGGATTAGAGATTAAACAGCAGACATCAAAGTCATGTTCCATGTTTGTATGACACTGGCTGTGTGTATAAGTGTTTGTGTGTGTCCACAAGTGTGAGTGGTCATGAATCTGTGCACATCTGTCTACTATGTGTGTGTGTGTGTGTGTGTGTGCGCACATACTGCGGCTTTGCTCTCAGCCTGCTGGAGTGACTCATCTCTGCAGCGCACTGCAGTATCTGGGTCACACACATACACATGGGCTAATGTAGTCTCCATATATAAACTATACATCCACAGTTCCTCTCCACGCCCTGAGCATCTTTGACGCTCCATGTCTGTGTTTTTTATTGCTGCAGCTTTTTTTATGACTCAGTCAGTTCAACCTGCTCTTTTTGTTCTCAAGGTCGAGTGCAACTCCAAACTAGACCCAACCAACACCACCTTCCTGAAGGTAACTCTGTCCTTATCTGAGACAGCTGCCCCATCATTAGACAAAAAGTTGGATTTCAATGTTGATACATTTTTGCATGGGCTAAATAATCATAATAATCCCAATTCACACAAAAATATGATGCAAAATGAATTTTGGACACATTTTACACATGTAAACTGTGTTGTTTGGAAAGAAACAGCTTACTTTACTTTCTCATATACCAAACATAGTAAATAATTATGTGCTAATTAGTCTTCATTGAAAGTAAAAAAAATAATAATAAAAATAACTATTTATAGTGCATTCAAAAAACACAGTTGCAAAGTGCTTCACACTAAAAAACTCATGAGTTTAAAAAAAGTTTTAAAAAAGCTCCATGACTTTTTAAAAACTTAATTTAACATCTTCACATAACAAACACATATTATAAGTGGTTGTTACCTAACCATACCTAACAATGAATTCAAGAAGCATACTAAGATAAAAAAAGATAATAGAAAAACAAACAAATAAATAAAATAAACTAACAAAAATATCTCAAATATAGGTTTAATTATTCTTAAGTAGCCTTAAAATAACCTAATGGGGTTCAATCAATATATAACTCAAGAGTGTCTTAAGGCACTTCTTTCCAGTTTTCTTAAGGATTTAAAGAAGATTTTCTAGTCATCTATAAATGCCAAATGTTATTACATAAAAATTCAACATACAATACAACAAACTGCTGTACAGTATATTTAAAAACAGGTATTACATTCTTTGTAACTAACCACCTATGCATTCTGTCCCCAAAAAAATCAACAATACTACAGGTGTACCTAATTTTCAATATCTTTTTGACAAAATCTACAGACATTTCTATGTAAATTAAATAATAGGCACCAGAATTTAAGATATAAACAAGATAAAATAATTACATACTAAATACTTAGAACAAATACAGTCAGTTAAGAGAAAGCCAGCTTTGATGTTACTTTGTAACTTTTCGTAGTCCGTGTTAATACGTAACTCAAATTGTAACACAGTACTTTTAAGCTACAAACTAATATATATGAAATGTTAGCACTCTTACATACATACCGGTACTCTCAAACACTTGCATTCATATGTGAAAGATTGCTTTCATAAATTCAGATAATTACTGTCCTCAGCAGTGCATTAGATGGACTTCCTGTGATGGCCAGTAGCTTTATGTTTACTTATTGAGACTATATTGAATGACTCTGGGAAAGTAATGACAAGAATGATTCACTCCCCTGTCAACAAATAATTCTTTGTGTTTGTAACTTACTGATCGGCCGGAAGCAGCAGGTGCACTTTTATTTCTGCAACAACCCAGCATGATCATTTAGAGGCAAAATAGCACAGCAATGTCTTTTCACCATGTGAACAGCACGACAATACAATGTAATAAATATGACAATATAAAATTTTTTGTTTAGTTGTTCAATTTTTCTGTTTATTTGCAACCAATACAACCACTTACCTTAAGGCTGCAGACAGCTCATTTCCTTTGAGACCAAGCAAGCCATGTCAGGCTTTGTGTCTATTTCCATCAGACCAGATTTTTATTTATTTGTGGACATTATTATGTGTTGAGTACCACTGATGGTTTTACACAAAAAATAGTTATTTCATTATTAAGTCATACATTGGGAAAAAGAAAAATAATCCTTAATTCTGTAATGCATAAGTAACATTATATGAGAGATTGATATAACAAGCCTAATCTCAAAAATGGGGCATTTTACCTTGACTTGAAACCAGACAGTAGAGAAAGAAGGTTGACATAAAAGAAAAGTGTACACACACAATCAAACTGGGGACATTGTAATTGAGCATTCCTAAGTAAGTAAATAAGTCCCACCCCTTTTTGCTCTGCGCTCCAATGACAGTTAAGCAACCCTTGGTCACCCACTTTCTCTTTTTCCTGTACTTATATATATGCTACATGCTAGGCTCCTCTGCATTGAAAAGACAACCACATTTTGAAGATTTATGGCATCTTAGAGTTAGCTAGCTAATCTACAGCAAATGTTAGCTAGTTACATCTGAAAACTTATGTAATCAAAACACTATTGAACTAGCTAGATAATTTCATCAATTGTTAGTTGGCTAGTTAGTTATTGTTTTGCTAACATTAGCTAACTTAAGATATGACTGTATGTCGCTTTTATCTTTTAACTATTTTAAAATATCTTCTCAACATTGATGAGGCTAGCACATAGCCTATCTAAGTGCAGGAAAGGAGGAAGCTGATTGAGGCTGGCTAGCCCAGCAAAGAACAAAAAGGGGTGGGACTTAAGAATGGTCAATTACATAGTCCACATCTATGATACCCAAACTTGTAATCTTCAAATATGATTATTTTACAGCCCACTTTTAACTATTAAATGACAGAAAAGAATAAAAAAAAAACTATTTACCATTGTTCACAGAACAGAGGCAAGCAAAGAATGAGGGTTTACATTTGCTCTAGTTCCTCTACTTGCAAGCTTTAGCAGTTAATTCTTCTTTCTCCTCTCATGTTAGATGGCTGACTCTGGCGGACTTCCTCAGCTCACACAGGTAGTAACACACAAACAAACAACTAATCAACAGGCTGCCACGCCTTTAAATGAAATAAGAAAAATATACATAAATAGACATATAATAGATATTAGACTTATTATATAAGTCTATAAGAACAGACATATTTAACTTTATGATGAATGAAAACTCTGACGTGTTGTTTTGCAGCCTGGCAAGCTGACCGAAGCCTTCAAGTATTTCCTGCAGGGAATGGGCTACAGTAAGTATCCATAGAATAAAGTGACAAAAAGTAGTTAGTGAGTGTAATTTTAGATGTATGTTTGTGTCTTTGCCTCAGCTGCAATTTCTTATAAAAAGTTATTTCAGCATTATTATAGGAGTGTGTTGTGATGTCATGTATTTTATGCAGAGGGTCATGAGTTGTGTTAATCTTGCCCTCTGTCTTCCTTGCCCCGTTCTCTCAGTCGCTTATGTGAAGGATCGGAGGTTGAGTGGAGGGCCAGGTACTTCCTCCTCCCCAGTTCACCTCTGACCTCTTATTGCTGCCCTGTTGAATGACATGACATGACATTTTTTTCATTTAATTTGGTTATGAATACAATATTTTGGGCTGTTATGAAATATTTACTTTTGCTGTCATTTTCTTTTATCCCAAGGATATTTAACCTCATCTTTGTTCGTTAGAAAATAATTTTTCCTCCCACGGGAAAAATATACTGCCCTCACTTCTCCTGCCCCCATCCCTTTGTCATTGCATCTCCAGTACTGCTCTTTGCATGGCCTTCAGCTAGCTTTGAGCGAAGCCTTTTGGACTAAGTTTGTGACTAACATCCGTGTCTTATATGCTAGTAATAGTTTAGTAATAGTTTAGACTTTAGAGGAGAAGTAAATGTAGTTCCTGCAATCAAATGAGAATTTGAGAGGAATGAGAGCTAAATAAAACTGCATAAACTGCTGACTGAACTCAAGTTAAAATCTAAAATTGTCCTTAGGGTTATACAGATAAACCTACAGAGCCCAAATCACATAAGCACAGTATACAACATGAAACATTAGAAGGTGTACCTTTGAGACTCAAAATGAGTCTCCAGGGCTCCGGGCTTGGAGCTTTTGGACATTTTAACAAGAGCCAAACAAGATTCAACACACAGTTAGTCGGACTGATACAGGATCTTTAAAGGTGGAGCCAGTACTCTTGCAATAATTGTAAGTGGTCATTATTAGCTAGCCTTACTACTATTAATATATAGTAGTATATAGTAAACCTATTTTAAAAAATCTGTTTTCTTTTACAAACATTTAAGGTATTCATGAGCTGTAAGCATTAGCTCATTATCCTCTTACAGCTCATTATCTTGGTTTTCTGGTCTGCAAATTCCACTCCTCATCAACCTAAATAAAAAAAAAGATTTACAAAAAATCTATTAATTCAGCTATAAGGCAGGGATAACACTTAATTGTAGATTCATCATCGCTTTAAAATTGCTTTTTAACTTTTTAGCAATTACATCAATAATAAACAATTTCATTAATTTTCATGATTTGGGTACAACTCAATCTTAAAACATATACAAACATATTCAGAAACAGGATTAATACACCCAATTTGCAGGGGCGGAGCTAGAGGGGTGGCCAGGGTAGCACTAACCTGATTGGACACCCTGGGTGCCACCCCAGTTGATTGACAGGTCACTGCACGTCACGTCGAAAACAGCAAGATTTTTAAACGCAAACAGAGAAGGCAAATAAAAACAGAATAAACAAAGAAGAGGAAGGGAGATATTATCCAATATTTTTGCTAAGAAAAACCAAATCAGGCACAGATAAGCACAGACAAGGACCCCATCCCAGAAATGATCATGCAGCCCGGGGCAGCTCCCCAACACTGAAAATACTAGCAGTGCAAGTACATTCATCTAATTACTCATAATTACAATGATCGTCATTATATTGATCCTTGAGCTGACTAAGTCTTGCGATATCTAGTAGTCCGATGATGTTTCAGCAGATAAACTCTTTGGTATTTGCCAATGTTACAGGGACACCGACTTTTGCCCACAGGTTTTTTTTGGAAATATTCCATATCATGATATATGGAATGGATATAATAAAGATGAGAAATGCGCACAGGTTTAATGCTGCGCAGATAAACTTTAGGATCCATTTCTTCACAAGACCAAACTTTCCGTCTCAATCATAAAGCTCTTTTTCCTTGAGTTAATAACTCAACAGTCACGAAATGGACATGTTTTAAGTAAGAGGGTTAAATGATATATACAGTGTTTACCTTTATTAAGGCCTAAGTATATGGCCCCCACATCATAAACCTTGGACCACCTACTGAGGCCACCCCTTGTAATTAAAAAGTATGATCCGGGCCAGCTTGCAAATTATGAAGGGGCCCATCTGACCTTGAACGCAGCAGTGGAAAAAAAAAAATCTTCAAATTTATAGGAAGAATTTTGAGCATTAATATCCAATACAAAGCTGAGGCCACCCAATGAATTCTTTTTGTCATTGTAGATATAACAGTTGCGTCCGTGAATGGTAGCACATATAAGCCAGCCAGTGAGGCCTTTCACACCAGATTTCT